TCAGACAAAACAGTCACTCAGGTAGCTCAAAGTACCTACAGTCGCGAAACCTGAGCATCGAGGTCACGTGCAACAAGGATGAGCTCGGTGTCCAGACCTTTCGGGCACTCAGTCGGCGAAGAGAACAAAATTAATTTTTCCGATTCGGCGACTGAGTGACCGAGCCTACAAAAATCCAAACATCTATCCGGAACACACTTTTGGGACACAAAAGTACTAAGTCAAATCAAATAATAAATTCAATCAGTCATAGGGAGAAGAACTCGTCTTTTAGCTACCTCTTAAATTAGGTTGCCTAATCACACAAAGTAAAACAGAGGATGTCCCATTACCCAGAGCATCCAAAGTAACGCTCAGTAAAAAAGCCTCCTCATTCGTTGTTTTGCAATGGGGAGGAGTGGTCAGTTATAGCTTAGGGGTCAAATAGGTATAGGTACCGCTCCATTAAGGAATTTGACCGGTTTGATCTTCGGACATGTGGGTTCCACTTATCCCTTGGAACACACTGCCCGGACAAATTGTTTTAGATCATTCTGAACTAATTAAGTTTGCTGTAGTTTTTTTTTGTAAACTTGATTGTGTTCGAGTTATTTAAAACAGAAAAACTTCAAGGTTCAAAACTACAGGTAATTTTTTTTTAAATTGATTGGATTTTCCGATAAGTATTTTGGGCCTATTTTACAAATGAGCGACCGCCCTGCTATACGCGCTTCATTATCAATTTAAAAAACAGTGGTTTAATAGTTAGTTATACATCAAGGGAAATAATAGAACAAGGTTTGAACTTGAACTTAGGTTCTTGGTGAATGCAAATATGTTTTTTAAATGTATCTATATTTTTATTTGTAATCTTGATAATCGCAATTCTGTGTTTTTCTCAGTTTTAAATTATTTATAACTCAAAAACCACTAAGTTTACAGAAAAACTACTAGAGAGTTATTTTGTTTAGGATTATTAAAAAAAAATTAAAAATGTCCGGGCCGAAAAAATAGATTGTTACAATTTGTTTAAAAAAAAGTGATTATGCAAAAAAATCTCATGGGAATATTTTTCCGAGCGAACCCGAACTATTATGAAGATAATGAACATTTAGGACAGTTTTGGAAAGTATCTGCCCCAGACAAAGAATATAACAAATAAATATCCAAAAGATCAAACAGAAGAATAGAAACGACGGTTATCGTACCAACGTTGCTTTATACTAGCGAGACTAGACAAGAATATATATATATATGTATATATATATATATATATATATATATATATATATATATATACAATAGCAATAAATACTTCTTTCTTTATTATCGCTTTCCTTTATGTACTGAGATCTTCTCTGGCTCTATGTGACTTTTCTTCATTCCTTCTTGTTATTCATTTTTCTTTTCTGGCCGTCTAGTCGAATTTCTTCCATATCTTTTTTTACCTCCTGATTACATCTATTTCTTGGCCTTCCTTTTCTCTTGTTTAAAGTTATAATGAAGTTTAGTACCCTTTTTGGAGTCCTCGTGTTCGGCATCCTTTCTAGGTGACCTCGCCATCTTAGTCTCTGTGTCTTTATGACTCCTATTATGTTAGGTTGATTAAATAATTTCTTTAACTCATCATTTAATCTTCTTATCCATAAACCGTCCCTTATTATTCCTCCATATATCTTCCTCAAGATTTTCCTTTCCCATATCTCCAGTAGATTTTGTTCATTTTTTGTCATTGTCCACGTCTCACTGCAGTATGTTGCTATTGGTTGTATAGTTGTTTTGTATAACTGTATTTTTGCCTTTCTTGATAAAAACTTGCTTTTCAACATTCCACTAAGAGTATGTACACTTCTACTGCCTGCCATTATTCTACCTTGTACTTCTTCTTGTACTTTTTTCTGAACCTAACATTCATTTAACGTTAGGTTTACGCGATATTATTGTACCTAGGTATGTAAATCTTTCTACCATTTCGAATTTCTATGATGACCGTTCTTCTACTTCTACTTTAAACTTTTGTCCATCCCTAAACTGATCATCTGTCCACTGCATACATTTTGTTTTAGTTTCATTTATGTAAAGTCCCATTTTCTTTGCTGCTTTTACTATTCTCTGTACTATCTCCTGTAGCTCTTTTTTTCCTCTTGCCAGCAACACTATATCATCCGAAAATGCCAAAACTTGGTGTCTTTTATGATATAGGAGTCCTTCTCTATTAATTCTTGCTTCTCGCATTATTTTTTCTAGGCATAAATTGAAGAGTAGTGATGACAAAGGATCGCCCTGCGTCAATCCTTCGTTTACTATAAATTTGTCCGATGTATGATTGTTTACTTTGACTCTATTTTCTGTATTCTCTAAAGTAAGATGTATCATGTTACGCAACTTTCTGCTAACTCCCAGTTCCTCAAGGGTCTCTTTTAATTCCTTCCTTTTTATTCTGTCGTATGCTTGCTGAAAGTAGATGAATAGCACTATCGTTGGTAAGTTGTGTTCATAGCTTTCTGCTTGTAATTATCTGATTATGAATACTTGGTCCGTTGTGCTTCTCCCTCGTCTAAATCGACACTGGTATTCGCCTATTATATTTTCAGCTTCTTTTTCCAGCTTATCTTTTATGGATTTTGATAGGATTTTATATATAATATTTAGTAACGCTACTCCTCTGTAATTACTGCATTCTGTTTTGTCTCCTTTTTTGTGTAATGGACAAATAATGGCTTCCTTCCAATCTTCTGGTATTCGTTCTTTTATCCATATCTCTTTTAAGATCTTGCATATCCAATTATTTAGCAGTTTTCCACCATATTTCATTATCTCTGCTGTTATGTTATCGCTTCCAGGGGATTTGTTGTTTTTCAGATTTTTTATGATTTCCTCGATTTGTTTTTTACTGGGTGAATTATCTTCTATGTCGCCTATTTGTTCGATTCTTGCTTCTGCTTCCATATGTTCTCTTTGGTTTGACTTATTATTGCCATTTAGTAATTCATCAAAATACTCTTTCCATCTTTCGACTATTTCTGCTTCCCCGCTTATATTATTTCCTGCTTTGTTTTTAACGAATATGGGTTTTTGTTGGAAACCTTTTTTTTTCATTTCTAGCACCATGATATAGGTTTTTTATTTTTTTATTTTTGTAATTCTCTTCTATTTCTTTTAGCTTATTTTCTATGTGTTTTCTCTTCTGTTCTCTCAGCACCCTCTTTACTTTTTGTCTTTGCTCCCTATATCTATTCTTTGTCTCTATTGTTTCTTTCGTGATCATTTCCATCCTTAATGATTTTCTTAGTTCTATTTCTTTTTGGCACTCTATGTCGAACCAGTCTTTCATCTTTTTATTCTCTTGTTTATTACATTCTTTTGCTGCTTTGTTCATTATTTGCTCTATGTTTTCCCATTTGTTCTCAGTTTGCTCTTTTATTTGTATCTTTTTTAGTTCTATTTCCATTGTTTCCTCGTATATTTCTTGCCCTTTCTTTGTTGCTAATCGAATTGGGTTATGTATACATTTCTTTTTTTTATTTTGTTTTTGTTTTCTGGTATCAGTTGCTTAATTTTGATACCCACCATGTAATGATCTGAGTCAGCGTCTGGTCCTCTGTATGTTCTTATCTTCTTTATACATTGCTGTTCCTCTTTTTCGAGATGAGCACGTGGTCTATTTGGTTTTTAGTCTTTCTATCTGGCGATATCCATGTTTCCTTGTGTATTTCTTTTCTTTCGAAATATGTGCTCACTATGATCACATTATATATATATATATATATATATATATATATATATATATATATATATATATATATATATATATATAACTCATGGGATTCATTTTTGTAGGCCTTAGCTTATTTAAATCAAATTAATATTGAATTTATAAAAAAAATTTCTAGTAAGGAATAAAAATACTTCGTTAATTTCAATAAGAGGTTGAGACTGTTTTCTTGTGGCATATTTTGGCAAAAATTTCTATTTATAATAATCTTTTGGATAGGATTTCCGTATTTGAAATAGAAGTGCTGAAACAAACGTAAAATGTAATTTTTATTTTGATCAATTGTGGCTTAATACCATAATATATAAATTTCAATAAGCTGCCTAAACATGAATGAATTTAAATGAAAATTTTCTTTGCAGTTTTGATTGTATTTAAATTATAGCTTTTATACAAAGTCTTCTTTGTATAAAACAATGTAATGAAAATGTGTTTTAAATTTTGGGATAATATGATAATAATATATTTATTTTCATGCTACTCTAATTCGAACAATATATTTACTTATCTGCGAATGGTCCAATTGATTACTTGAAATCAACTATAACTCGAGTCTCTATCCGCATCCGATAAATAGTTATAATTCACTGTGATTGATTGTTTGGAAAGAATAGTATCGAGTCATAGTAAATATTTTTTGTAATGGAATGATTTGTCTATAAGTAGTTATAATATAAAAAATATTAAAGACAATGTTCTCATATTACTAAACGAAACAAACAGCATTTTAAACTCATAGGATTTGATTATCTGTATAGAAAAAACTTTTTAAACAAAAATACCAATTTTGACAAGTTAATAAAAGCAGTAAGAAGTGTATCGGTAATGCATTAATTATATTAATTTTAATTAGTTTTGTGGGTATATATGAGAAAAAACAATTGAAACTTACAATAAAACGTTTAAATTGTCATTGAGGATTCTTCTTTGTGTAGTTAAATATAAAATATTTTAATTTTAATAGGTTGACGTTAGAATCTATTTTTCAATTTTGGTCTATATAAAAAGAACAAACATTCTGGCAATGATATGATATAAATTAAATTAACATATTGCGCAAAAACTAAGTATAGAACAAAAATTAGGCTTCCCGTTGCATAGAAATAAAACTATATCCGCGGTGTTTAAAAATAACCCGTTTCAACATTACGACATAATTTAAATATTATAAAACCTGATATAGAACACACAAGTAAACAACTTTTTTTAAATATAAGTAATTAAAAGACTTCATTAATTAACGTACCGATTTTTGTAAAAAATATTCCAAAATTTTTGGATCAGCTGACTAGAAAAACCACTTCACGCATAACTTTTCACGAACTCATCACAAACCACTGCCGCTGTCCAAGAGAAGAGAAAATTTTTCTAAAACAGTTCATTCTGTATGTATAAATGACAGGAACCAACGCGACGGTCGTTGTGGGTCTAAAGTGAGAGTTGTGTGTGCTATTATTAATCACACCATGTGAGTTGTGTGTACGTATGTAGAAGTGTGTTTGTGTATTTCTGCCCTCTTTCCAGATAGAGATGGGAACCATGTGTGATCAAAGGCGTACACAGGTGTAACTTATGTCAGGGTGAAGGATGAATATAAATATTAAATATAAATATATATTCATAACGTTTTCGTGAATGTATGTACACTTCTTCATAACTGAAAGAAAAAAAATCTTAATCACCTGACCTCTTAACATATTCTTATACCAAATATTAATGGTACAAATACAAACAACAACCATAAATGTGAATATACTACCTACAAGTATATGCCCCCACACAATATGATGAAGAAGAAGAAATTGAAAAATTCTATCATGATTTAGAAAAAGTATTAGCATCTACAAAGAAACAATATTTAGGACCAAATAAGAGAAGTCAGATATAAAACTAAAAACAAATACAAGAGGTTCCACGAAATAATCAGGAAAAAGATAGGACATGCGAAAACACAATTTCATAGTAAAGAATGTAATGAAATTCAACATAATAAAAAAAACAGGATACCTTTCAAGAAATCAAAAGAGATAGTCGGAAATATACAAAAACAACTATCCCAAAGTTTAGAAGAAAAAAGCGGATACAGAATATTAAAAATCAATGAACAGTTAAAAGAATGGAAAAACTACGTTTCTGAATTATTTAAGGATGAAAGAGTAGAACCTATACACCGATTGCTATAGCAGGTCCATCTTTACCAGAAAGAAAGGTTGTATGGGAAATAATAACGGCAAAAATGGGGAAGCACTTGGACTCGATGAAATAAGTGCTGATATACTAAAGTTTTTGGAAGAAAATGGAATTAAAGCAATGATTGGCTTAAGTCGAGATTTATCACAATACCAAAGAAACATCATGCAAAGACATGTAGTACTTATCGGAAAATAAGTCTGGTAAGTCACGTTTTGAAGATATTCCTATGAGTAAGACATAGCAGAATATACACGATAGTAGAGAGAATTAGCAATACTCAATTCAAATTTATATGTGACTTGGATACGAGAAAAGTCTTGCTCAGTATACAACAAGTACTAATCCAGAGATGCAGAGATATAAACCAAAATGTATACATCTGTGAGAGCTACGGATCCAACCGTAGAAATTAAAAGCCGAATAGAACAATACCGAGTTGCTTTTTTAAAGATAAGGAACGTACTTTGCAGCCAATAGCCAAAGGCTATAACTTTTCAGTACGACTGTAGAAAGTGGAAGCATGGACTCTAAGTGAGGCTCTGCTTAAATGCTTGGAAGCAGAAAGACCAAATCGAAACCATAATAGACAAAAATAGAACCTTAAAATGCATAAGACATACAATAGTCAAAACAGAAGTAAATAATATAAAGAGCAATAACGGGGAAATGACAAGTAGTGTAAATGAGATACGTACAGTCGCAAAAGAATATTATCAAGGACTTTACAAATGTACAGAAAAACCACCTGAAGAAATAAATACGTTATTAAATTATAAAATTAAGAACGTTAACTCCTAGTTCTAGCCAGCAATTAGTAAAGAAGAAATATTAAACAAATAAAAAATATCAAATCGCCAGGAAAAAATAAAGTTACTAAATAAAAAACCTGCTAAATAAAATATTACGAGCAAAGAGGATTCCCAAAGAGTGGAATAAAACAGTAACGCTATTATTACGCTATTAATGTACAAAAAAAATGACAAGAGCGACTTAAAAAATTATCGACCAATAATATTAGTCAATACGTATAAACCCATAAGAAACCTCTTACAACAGGTTGCCAACAAAGTCGATAATAAACGGATACCAGTTACGAGAACATGCAGGATTCAGAAAGGGATGTATAGTACAAGATCCCACTGCAAGATCATTACGTTCATAACGTAGTTCATCAAATTCACATTTCTACATAGACTTACATACCTATTATCAATATATTAGGAGAATATATTGATAAAAGGATGCCAGTCAAAAAGTGGCCACAAATATTTTTAATTTAATTAATAGTAATTATAGTAAAATAGTAATAGTAATAGTAATATAGTAATAAAATAGTGATTATTTATAGTAAAATAGTATTATATATAGTAATTATAGCAGTAAAATAGTGTTGGGTGCAACGACACTGATTTGACAAGTATATGTATATTGAGGGTAGCAGGTGGATACTGCGATCCCGCCAGGAGATAGATCTACTTTAGGTATAGTGCATCTGCCCACGCGAGCTTATGGATTTCCTCAGCGTCCCATCCCCGAGGAAACCATGTCCAAACCCAAAGCATTCCCATCTCCACCCTTTTCTTCCCCCACTTCCAAACCAAGTCGCGAACACGCACTAGTTAAGCGTGGCGTTTTAATGACAAAACACCCAAAGACAAAATTAGTCTCCGGTGGCTTCAGCACTCACAATCAAGGTAGCGGTTGGAATAGGTTTGGAGTAGAGGGTGCTAACAATTCCCGGAAAAAATCAGGCTACTACAAAGATTGACAAATGCATATTACTTCATATAATGTTAAAATTATTATATCAGACCAGAAGATGATGGAACTAGATAGAGAAAGAGCTGAAAAGAATAAAATGGGACATTATCGACCTTAGCGAAATAAGACGAAGAGGAAAAGCCCAAATTACTCTTAACTCAGAACATATTTCATTTTAGAGGTGAAGACATTTCAAATGGTTGAGTATGATTCATTATACATAGAAAGTACACACAAAATATAGTTGAAATTATCAGCATAAGCATCAGGAATGGATATCACATCTTCAAACTAAATGCAAGATATAACCATAAGGTACCCCGACATATGCTCCAACGACTACCCACTCGTATGAAGAAATTTAAGAATTTTATAAGAACCTAGAAACAGCGTTCATTATGAGCGACTTAAATTGCGAAAATGGGACTTAAACAAGATGATGCAGAACTAGCAATGGGTAAGTATGGATATGGTAAAAGAAATGTACGAGGGCAAAGATAGCTGAACTTTTTACACCAGGAAAATTTATTGATGATGAACTCTTTTTTCGACAGAAAGTCTCAGTGTAAATGGACATGGATCAGCCCAGATGGCAGTGTCAAGAATAAAATTGATGATATCATAACAAACAGAAAATAAATAGTCAAATACATCGAAGTCTTCTTCTTCTTTTTTTATATAGACATGACTCTGTCTGTTTTTCATTGTGCCTTCAGTAAGTTGTCATTCCGTCTTTTAAGTGGTTTTCCTACTGATCGTCTTTCGATTGAGGAACCATCTCCTACTGTCTATACTACTCTATTTATTGTCATTCGGCTTATATGATCGTTCCATGCTACTCTTGTATTTCTTACCCAGTTTTTTATGTTCTCCACCTTGCATCCATGTCGTATATCTGTACTTCTAGTTCTGTCCGTAGTGTCTTACCATCAATTTTTCTGTTTTTTTTTTGTCCTCTTTGTGTTAGGTCTTATTTCTGCCGCGTATGTCATTGTTGGTCTGATGACTGTTTTGTAAATTCTGCCTTTTGTTTCTTTCCAGATATTTTTATTTCTCCATATTTTTTTCATTTAGGCAGGCTGCGGCTCTGTTTGCTCTATTCACTTGATCTTTCACTTCGGTTTCGAGTTTTCCGTAGCTAGATATTGTGATGCCTAGATATTTACACTCCATCACTTGTTCTATTATCTGACCTTCCAGCTCCAATTTACATCTTAGTAAATTTGCTGTTGTAACGATTCATTTTATCTTTTTTGGGTAAATTAATGTGTTAAATTTTCTGACGGTTATATTAAATATTGATGCAGTATACGTTGTAAGTTGAGAAATCTACTCTCTGAAATGGACAGATTAAACATTACTATCATGGGGGCGAGTGAAACAAGATGGCCAAACAAAGGGAATTTCAGTGCAAATGGTTACGCCGTTTATTTTTCTGGAAATCAAGACCATATGCATCGAAATGGTGTAGCAATAATTATCAAACAGCATATTATTAAGTATGTCACTAACTTCATCCCAATATCAGACAGAGTAATGTTAATACAGCTGAATGCTAAACCTGTAAATATAAATATCATCCAAGTTTATGCTCCCACTGCTGACGCAGATGAGCATAATATTGAAGAATTCTACCATCAAATAGAAGAAGTGCTAAAAATAACAAAGAAACACGAAGCAGTAATAATTATGGGTGACTTTAACGCTAAAGTTGGACAGAAGATGACGCAGGGCATCACCGGAAAGTTTGGCTTGGGAGAGAGAAATCAAAAAGGTGAACGGCTAATAGAATTCTGCCAAGAAAATGACTTCGCCATTACAAATATCTGGTTTCAACTTCCAGAAAGGCGTCTTTACACGTGGAAATCCCCTCAAGATGGACATCAAGGCAGAATAGTACGGAATCAAATATACTACATCCTAATAAACCACCGATTTCGAAACAATATTAAAGACGTAAAAACTTACCCCGGCGCTGACATAAACTCAAATCACAATTTACTCTGCTCCAAAATACAAATTAAATTGAAGAAATTAACAAAGCCAACTAAGCCTTGTAAGATATATCTCGACCCCCTGAAAAACCCTCAAACGCGCGAACACATATCACAGCAAATAAATAGTAAAATACACAGAATATCAAATATACCAAACGAAACAGAACCATTAACGAATGCTGGTATGCCATTCAAAACTCGATTTTAGAGAACGTACAAGAGTCTTTGAAAACACCTACCATGTTGGCAAAAAATGAGTGGATGACACAAGAAATTCTAGATCTGATGGAAGTTCGACGGCAACACAAAAATAGAAATATTATCGAATATCGTGAAATTAATAAACGCATAAAAAGAAAAATTAAGCAAGCTAAAGAATCCTGGCTTGAGAATTTATGTAAAGAAATAGAAGACCTCCAAAAAAAGCATGACAGCTTCAACCTGCATAAGAAACTTAAATATACTGCCGGAA